CACTTTTAAGTCATAGAAAGAAGTAAAATGTAACAGGTTCTATACTTAATGGAAACCATACAGCAAAAATTTCACACTCCAAAGATATACAAGTGCAACAACCATACACAAATATGCTCAACATCACTACTCATTTCAGAAGTACAAATCAAAACCACAATGAGATATCATGTCACACCCATTAAGATCAAGGCTGATGGGAACCAGCAGTTAGTGTAATGGCTATGTCGCTGGACTCCTACGTAGTTGACCGTGGTTCGCGTCCCGGACCCGGTGGCTTAAAACTCACACTGGGCACGTGTACGTGCGTTCCCAAGATCCTGAGAGGAGAATGGAGGAGAAGGGATTGTGGCATGATCATCCCCCCGGGGGGTGATTTCTCGCTTTCTATCTCTATTTCTCTCTCTGTCTGTCTGGCGAGCACACGTGCCCTATAGCGAAAACCTCTAAAAAAAAAAAAAAAAAAAAAGATCGAGGCTGACAAAACAAAAATAGATGTTGACAGGGTTGTGCAAAAGTTGGAACCCTATGCACTGTCAATACTGTAACATGGTGTAATCACTATGGAAAACAGTATGGAGGTTCCTAAAACAATTAAAAATAGAACCACCAGGGCCGGCAGGTGGGTGGTGTTAAGGGTGCTAGATTCTGCCATGGCTGACCACTGTTCGAGTCCCAGATCTGGCAGCTTTCTTTCTCACTTACTTTCTCTCTTTCTCTCTCTCTGTGTTTCTCTCTGGTCAAATTAGAAAATAATAATAATACATGGAATTAAATAAATAATTCTTTGTAAAGGGAAAGAAAATCCCATTACATGTTATAACAAAGAAATAAAATCCAGTCACATGTTATAACATGGATAAATCTTGAGGATATTATGCTAAGGAAAACAAGCCAGTTGCAAAAAGACAAATACTGTGCAATATTACTTATATAAGTGATCTGGAGTAGTCATCTTCATAGATAGAACGTAGAATGGTGGTTACCAGAGGCTATAGGGAGGAGACAGACAGGGAAAGCTGCTGTTTAATGGGTATGGAGATGAGATTTGCAAAATGAAAATGTTCTGGAGATCTTTTTCACAGTGATGTTAATATACCTAATACTACTGACCAGTAAACTTAAAAAATGGTTAAGGTGGCAAATTATATGCTATATATATTTACCACATTAAAAAATACAGAATAAACTGCACACAGCCAGACCCAAAGCCAGGACTAATTCTAAATTTTATATACTTTTTGCTATGACTTTATTATAAATACACTAACTACATTAATTTATTCAGCAAATATGGGTGCCTGCTATATGCATGCACAAATACCAGGATAGACCAGTAAATGAAATAAGACACAGGTCACTGTCTTTACATAGCCTAAGTTCTAGCAAACATGATTATTTATCTCATAAGGACACCAGATTTATCCCTCTCTTCAAAGATAATTTGCCAACATTTTAATATTGCATTAATATCAATTTGCTACTCTCAAAAATTAACGACCAATTAGATGGTGCATCAGTAATGTGCGTCTCTAGCAATAGTGGATCTCTAGCAATATGGAAGATCACAGGCTTGGTTCCCTGTTCTATTTGTATACACCAGACACACACACTCATGATTCTGGATGGCTGGAAGCCTGGAGTGTGGCGGAATGTCACAGTGTGAGACCCTGTTAAGGCTGTTTGTCTCTCTCTTGCATGAAAGAAATAAGTATTTTTAAAAGCTATAGGGGTCAGCAGGCAGTGTGGTGGTTAAGGTGCAGGACTCTCACATGACTGACCACAGTTTGGGTCCTACACTTGGTGGCTTGAAAATAACACTAGGCACATGTGCATGAATGCCCTAAATCCCAAGAGGAGAATGGAGAAGGGGTTGCAGTGTGGCCATCCCACCCGGGGAGTGATTTCCACTTTCCCTCTCTCTCTCTCCCTCTAGCAAGCACACACACCCTAGGGAAGAAACCTTAAAAAAAAAAAAAAAAAAAGAAAGAAAAGAAAAAAAATATTAAAATGAATATTCCTAGAGATCAGAATAGTTTCCCTTCACTTTTCATGATCTAAGAAGGCATCCTCAAACAATTACTTTACTTACTTTCTAGTGGGTGGGATCCTCTGATATGTTTCCTAGTAATTCTACCTTAAGTCCAAAATTAATAAATCTCCATATCCCATTATTTGCTAAACCTACTGATTTAAAACTAAACCTATTGATTCTGTTATTTTTAGATGAAACCTGGCTGTGTCGCAATCTGCCTGCTTCAGCCTCCTGAGCAGCTCGGGCTGTAGGCCTGCACCTGGCTTTTAGGTGGACTGAGAATTAAATGCAGCTTCCTATGGGCCTCAGCCTACTGGTACCAGCATCCACCAATGCACACTACTGCAGCTAGGCCCTTTTTGATTCTTTATTCATTATACATCTACCATCATTTTAAATTGCTAATTTAAAAAATGATAACACCAGTAAACAAGAAAATGACAAGCCTTCATATTTTAACTCGAGATTTCAATGAAAGACATACTATCATTTGGTCTGTTAAGGAGGATTATCACTCATTTATATCATTTACTGAACCTCCTATTCAAATCCAAACAAGTCAGGTAATACCTGCCAGTTTCAGCTTTATAGGTCTTTTTTTTCCCTCCTCTCTCTTTCAAATAATCTCTCTCTCAAGAGGATTGCTTATTTTCTATGCTCATGACTCAACCATTTTATTTTCATTAAACCCAAAGACAAAGAATAAACTCCTATTTAAAAGAAATTTTTAAAGGAAAAAACAGACGTCAAGACATCAGTTATATTAAATATTAAGCATCTTTTCCTTTAAGAGTTAAGTTATTAAGTTCCCTTAAAAAGTCAGTTTAACATTCAAGTTACAAAAACATCTGTCAAATTAGATATAGCAACCTACATGACTTAAATTTTGTGTCACAGCAATGCTTTTTTTACTCTGCTGCAGCTTTTTAATGTACCAGAGCTGAGGGTTTATATACAGGTAACAAAGTACTTTGGAAGAAGAGTTCCAAACATTAACTGGAACGCAAACTCCTCTGGTAAAGCCAACTCACCAAGTAGACACAGTACAAGTGAAATTATTAGCATGCTAAAAAGATCTTCTGAGTGAATTACCTGTCTTACTGAGGCATTCTTAAGAACATTAAAACTTGGGAACCAGCAGTTAGCGTAATGGCTATGTCGCTGGACTCCCACGTAGTCGACCGCGGTTCACGTCTCGGACCCGGTGGCTTAAATCTCACGCCGGGCGCGTGTGCGTGCGTGCCCAAGATCCCGAGAGGAGAATGGAGGAGAAGGGATTGTGGCGTGACCATCCCCCCTGGGGGGTGATTTCTCGCTTTCTGTCTCTATGTCTCTCTCTGTCTGTCTGGCGAGCGCACGCGCCCTATAGCGAAAACCTCTCCAAAAAAAAAAAAAAAAAAGAATATTAAAACTTATCATTTTATTGCATACATTTCAAGCCTCACTGAGACTTCAAGGTCTAAATGTCCCACAAATAGTAGTTGTCACTGCTTAGGAGCAAGAGTCTTTTCAAATTAGGAAAAGGGAGAAAAAGTCATTAACTAGTTTGCCTTAAAACAGAATACTGTAGGGACCAGCAGTTGGCATAATGGCTATGTCGCTGGATTCCCACGTAGTCAACCGCGGTTCGCATCCCGGACCCGGTGGCTTAAAACTCACACCGGGCGCGTGTGCATGCGTGCCCAAGATCCCGAGAGGAGAATGGAGGAGAAGGGATTGCGGCGTGACCATCCCCCTTGGGGGGTGATTTCTTGCTTTCTGTCTCTCTGTCTCTGTCTGGCGAGCGCACGTGCCCTATAGCAAAAACAAAACAAAACAAAACAAAACAAAAAACTAGAATACTGTAAACCAAGTCTACAACTCAAATCCTCCATTTTACTGTAACAGAAAATTACTCTCACTGTTTTCAATTTAAAATGCTTTGTTTATAATTAGATTATCCAAAGCGGGCTCCAAATGGGGTTTCTTGTTTGTAACTGGTTGATATCTCTGTTAGGATTATCTGTATTTAAAAAAAAAAAAAAAAAAGGCTTTAAAAGTTGTCATACAGTAGGGACCAGCATAGGGAACCACAGTTAAGAGTCCTGAACCCAGTGGCTTAAAACTCACGCCAAGCGCATGTACATGTGTACATGCCCAAAGTCCTGAGAGGAGAATAGAGAATGGATTGAGGCATGGCCATCCCTCCTGGGGAGTGATTTCCCAGTTTCTGTCTCTCTGTTTCTCTGTCTCGGTGGTGAGTGCATATGTCCTACAGTAAAAAACTCTCAAAAAAAATAATAAATAGGGACCAGCAGTTGATGTAATGCCTATGTCACTGGACTCCCACGTAGTTAACTACGCCTTGGAACTGGTAACCTAAAACTCACGCCAGGCACGTGTGCGTGTGTGCTCAAAATCCTGAGAGGAGAATGGAGGAGAAGGGATTGCAGCATGGTCTTCTCCGCTGGGGGGTGATTTCTCGCTTTCTATCTCTCTGTCTCTCTCTATCTTACTGGTGAGTGCGCGCGCCCTATAGCAAAAAATTCTCCAAATAAATAAATAAAAATTAAATAAAGACTTTAAAATACAGGGACCAGCAGATGGCGTGATGGTCACATCACTGGACTCCCACGTAGTTAACTACGCCTTGGAACTGGTAACCTAAAACTCACGCCAGGCACGTGTGCGTGTGTGCTCAAAATCCTGAGAGGAGAATGGAGGAGAAGGGATTGAGGCATGACCATCCCCCCTGGGGGGTGATTTCTCGCTTTCTGTCTCTATGTCTCTCTCTGTCTGTCTGGTGAGCACACGTGCCCTATAGTGAAAAAACCTCTCCAAAAAAAATAAATAAATAAATGTAATTTTCCAAATTCTCTGCCATTTTTCTAAAACTGCCAATATTCCCAAGTACTCCAGTAAACCTCCTCTAAATACAAGAAAGTTTAATGTGCTGAATTGCAAATCGAATTCCCTGAAGATTTACCTTCATCATACATTTCTTCTATTAAATAGGCCTCTGCTCGATCTTTCAGGGCATTCACATTGTCAGGTTCCACCTGTAAAACTTCAGAACATATTCTAATAGCTTCAACAGGCTTCTCATCCTAAAAGTAAAAGTGAGAAAAGGATTTATGGCTGTTAACCCATGTGTGGACATTTTCTACTTCTGGGAACAAGTCCACTGTTACCTTAGAGAAGCAGTGGCAAATCCTCTCTTTGGAACGAACTGTGTATTCAGCAACATTTGGCTCTGTTTTCATGACAGATTCATATTTGCTTGTTGCATCTGTGTATCTATTAAATGAGCAGATTATGATGAGTAACCATAACATTCTATTTCCAGAGCTGTAAAGAGGATCCCTTCCACCTCACTGCCTGTTACTCAGTTAATTCAACTACACGAGCACATGCTTTCGATCACTGCTTTTACCTTATTAACTAGAGTTAACATGGAAGGTGGAATGAAAAGTTAGAAGATAAAGCACATGATCACAGGCAATGTACATAGGGGTCTTCTAAAAGTTCATGAAAAATGCATATTATAAAAAAAGTGCACAAATTTCAAAAACCTTTGCACAGAAATAAACTCATATTTTATTCTGTTTTTCCACATTTTGAAATCCCTTTGTATATAGATAAATCAAAGCACACTTGTGAGTACTAATCAAACCAAATTTCTCTGTAGAAAAATGTTTATGATTTTGAACCCAGTAAAATACCTTGTTAAAAGTTTGACTTATACTAAGCACTTTTTTAAAAGAATTGTTTTTTTATTTAATTTTATTTAGTTATTATTATTATTTTTTAATTTAACCAGAGATAGATAGTGTGTGTGTGGGGGGGGTTGGGAAATGAGAAGTCACCAGGTCTGGGACTCGAACTGTGGTCGGCCATGTGAGAGTACAACACCCTTAACCACCATGCCACCTGCCAGCCCCCAACACTAAGCACTTTCAACAACTTCAAAATCAAGTTTGATTTCTTGTTTATACATGCTTTTCATGAAAATAATGTAGCCCATTATATGCCAGTTTATATAATGAATGTCAATATTCACAACTAAGTATAATGCAGTTCCTTACAAAAGGAACTCAATTCTCTACTTCATGAGCTTTCTAAGAACTTAAAAGCTATTTCAGTATTTTCTTTAAACTGGTGAAATATACTAGTCATGTTATATACTAAGTTAATTTTTTCAGTAATGCCAAACTAAAAGATTAGGTCGCTGGAAAAGTCATGGCTTTTTGGGACCAGCAGTTAGCGTAATAGCTACATCGCTGGACTGCCATGTAGTCTACCACGGTTCGCATCCTGGACCCGGTGGCTTAAAACTCACACCAGGCGCATGTGCATGCGTGCCCAAGATTCCAAGAGGAGAATGGGGAGAAGGGATTGCGGCGTGGCCATCCCCCTGGGGGGTGATTTCTTGCTTTCTCTCTCTCTCTCTCTGTCTGCCTGGCAAGCGCACGAGCCCTATGGCAAAAACCTCTCCCCCCCAAAAAAAGAAAAGTCATGGATTTTTTTTCTGTTTCTCTATGCAAAAATGTGCCATGACTTTTCTGACAACCCAAAATATGCCATTATAACACATGATTCCCAAAGCACTGCAGTCTTCACATTTAAATCTTGATATACAAGAACACAGGTTTAAGTAGCACATTTAAAACAAAAGTTAGCTTCTGGGAAAGTGGAGTGGGTGTACTTTTCTAATTCCTCCACCTAAGTCCAACTAAAATGTAAGACTCTCGTGAGAGAAGACAGCAGCCTCGCTAGGGACCCCAGGACTGAGGGAAAACATGGTGTCGAGTTCCCAGGTTTCATTTTGGCTCCATTTATCCCAGACTTAGAGCTGTAGATGCCAGCCCACCAAAAATGTCAATGAGTGCAGAACCACAAGCCAGCTAAAGTCATTTTTCCCTAGCCATAAGACATCAAACAGGCAGCTCAGCAAGGCAGAAAACTTTTTTGACAGTAATGGTTCTATTCTAGTAAAAGCACTACGTAGAAAATGTGGCTCCGTCTCTACCAATGCCAGCAGAGGTCAAGTGGAGAATACACTCGTCCTGCCTGGTCAGGCTGTAACAAGGTACCCTGACTCCCCTACCAAGATGGTATCAATTAAGGCCATGTGGGGAAACAGGACTTTCATCCATATATGATAACGAGTCTCCAATCCCACTCCCCAAGGGTGTCAGTGAAGACCGGGAGGAGTCAAAACTTTCACCTGCACCATGTGGTAGTGAGAACAAAGGCCAAGTAGAAAACTGCTACCTCTATTTGACAGGAACAAAATGGTGTCCAACCAGTCACCCCCACTTCGCTGGAACAATGTCAAAAAAAGCCAGCCAGAACAGGTTTATACAAAAACCATTTTTAAAATAAGAGGCCAGGTCCATCACATGGTGGTTAAAGCAGCTAGACCCTAGATGGCTGACCATATAGTTCGAGTCCCAGACCCAGTAGACTGAGAAACATACTGGCTCATATGTGTGCAATCCCAAAAGGAGGGAGAGATGAAGAAGGGAAAGCACTGTGACCATTGCCTATGGTGGGTGTTTTCTCCTTTCTCTCCCTCCTCCTCTGTCTCTTTATTTTTCTCTGGTGCATATATGCACTTTCTAGCAAAAAGAAAAAAAAAAAAGGGAATTCCAAGTTTCAATTAAAAGTCAATTATTAATTTTAAAAACAGGAAGATCTCAAACTGAACAAGAAAGGACAATCAACAAATGTCAACAACAGAACACAGATGATAGAATTATCTGACAGATTTTAAAGTTGTCATGGCCCCACAATATCTTTTTTTTTAAGAATTATTTTATTTAACTTTATTTATTTTTTTATTTTCATTTTACCGGAGAGGGACAGAGCAAAAGAGGAAAAGTGAGAAAGCAAGCCACCAGGTCTGAGACTCAAACTGCAGTTGGCCATGTGGGAGTCCAGCACCCTTAACCATCATGCCACCTGCTGGCCCCCACAATATCTTTTTATTAATCAGTTTGTATGTGTGTCTCACTAAGTTATAAACTTCCTAAAATCAAAAACTATAATCAAATTTATTTCTTTACCTTCAGTACATAACTCAGTGCCAGATACAAGAGATACTCAGTAAATATTTGGTGTTACATAAATAAATCTGCTGGTAAGGATAGTATGCAGTTGTTATTATTTATATTCTGTCTTATTCCAAAAATGTACAATCGGGTACTTTTGCCAAGGCCTGGTGCTATCTAGAATATCCCAATTGCTAAGATAAAAGAACAACCAGTTTAGTTAGTTAGTTGTGCCCATGATCAGACACAGAAGGAAAGGCTTGATGGCTGGGAGAGTATATTCTTACCTGCCGTCTCTGATGAGTTCTTCAGCTGATTCAATCAGTTTGTTAAGTTTCTTTACTTGTTTATAATGTGCAAAACACCTTTTATGATCCTGGTCAAGTTTCAGACATTCACGAACTTCACTGCTCACGTATTTAAAAAAATAAAAATACACCAAGTCAAAATAATCAATAAGTAGTATTTCATATTGAATACAGAAATTACAATAAAAGCATTTGTCTGTAACAATTAAACAAGACATAACTGACTTAATAATTTACTGTACACTTTTATCTGTAACATCACACCATGCACAGACATACTAATTCAAATTAAAATGACTGTGTTAGACATTAAATATTCCCATTTTGGGGTTTGCAGGTGGCATAGTGGTTAAGTTGCTCAACTCCCCCATGGCCAACCGTAGTTTAAGTGCCAGACATGGTGGCTTGCTTTCTCACTTTCCCTCTCTTTGCCTCTTTCTACCACTCTCTGGTGAATACATGTGCCTTATAGCAAATAAAAAAATGAAATAGTAATGATAAATACAATTAAATAATTTCTTAAAAATCTAAAAAAAATTTCCTATTTTTGTTTCTGCAAATATAACAGCTGTCTTGTTTGTTTTAATGAGCTTACTTCATGAAAATAACCAATTTAAAATTAGAGTAATTTACATATATATAAATATTATAAATGAATATGGAATATAAAAACATCTGTAGCCACAATTTTATTAACCTAATATCACAATTTTAAAGAAAACAGACTTATTATCTGACTGGCAGCAATTAAAAAATGATCAGATGTGCATGTCGCTAGAACAGACCTGAGGGACAGTTCATGGTCTCCTAGTTGATAGTACAGTGTGCTGATTTTATAAAATGCCTCAGTATTATCATTCTTCAATTTTGATGTAGCTTTTAAGTCACTTATAGCTTTCCTAGGCTCCCCTTCTTTTATAAAACACTCAGCTCGAAGTTCCCGTAGTTCTGCATCCCAAACACAAACCTTGAGAAACAAAAACAACTAGACTTTAAGAAAGAAATAACGAATTATACACATCCTCTATTAATATGACTTCTATATTACAAACAGTATTTTTAAAATGCCGCCTTCTTGAAATTAAATCCTCACAGCAATAGAAAGAGAAGAGAAAAACTAAGTAAGAATGCGGAGATTGATGCTTTACCATCCCTATTATGTTTTAGCACTGGGTACACAATGTTAAGTAAACACACTAGTGTTCTTCAAAACATAAACCCAAACCTCACCACTAAGGCCCGTGGAAGCATCTTTATGTATTTCTTAGAGCTGTTTGAAAGCCACACCAACTTTTCACATATATGAAGATATCAAAATCAACATTATACATAAGTTAAATATCATGAATACATTAGGTCAATATGGATTATCTAATTACTGGAAGGTAAAAATTATAAGCTTATATGCCTTTAACAAAGTATTAACAAAATAGTACAACAGAAATTCTATTGGACATTATCAGATTTCTTTTACAAAATTAGCAAAGAAATACACATTGTATATATATCACACAGTTATTGCCAATATTAAATGAAGTTATATTACAATGGTAAATGAAAGTGATGTTATTACTGCTTCCATTTGAATACCTTAGTAGACTTCCTTCTAAAATCATGTGTTATTAAATGCTTCAGAGGCAAGAAAACCACAGACTTCCGTTTCTTAACCTAGTGCTTCTGGATCCTATCATCTCATCTGCTTTTTCCTCTAGAAACTTCCTCCTCTAACATTCCTTTTTCCTCCCTAACATCATGTTTTTCTTTTTTTTAGAACCAACTCTTACATCTTTTACCCCATTATCTAACCTCTAGAGTTCTCTTCCCCCAAAAAATACAGAATCGACCCAAATTACAAAGCAAACAATGTACCAAAATAAGTCACTCTCAGGCCGGGCCCACTGTACAGGGGTTAGTCACTGTACAGAGGGAGCAGGATCCCACACGGCCAGCCAGGGTTTGGATCCCAGCCTATGGCAATACACCAGGCACACATGCCTAGGATTCTGACAGATGAAGAAATGGTTAAAAATGACTGTGGTGTGACCAGGCCCCACTGGAGTGTGTTTGCTTACATGCTTTCGCTCTCTCTCTCTGGCATATGCATGTACTCTATGGCATTAAAAAAGAAAGAAAGAATGAACCAAAGGCGGAAAGAAAGGTAAGGGGAAAAAAATGTAATTCTCACTCTACAGCATATGTAGTATATAACAGAAAATTTCACTTGCAAATTATGTTCTATATAAACATGATCTTTTACTAAAGGCCTGAAAGCCCACAGATCAATCTGATTTTATCCTGTGTGGGTTTTTGGTGGTGTATAACATGTCAAGTGTATAAACACACTTATAGTGCAATGGAATAGTGCCCGGCCTGTCAGCTGCAGTACCTAAGAAACTTACCTCTAAAATCTTGTCAAGGAAGGTTATAGCAGCACTATAATCTGCACTTTCAAAAGCATCAAGTGCTTGTGAACGCAAACGTTGCATTTCATCAGATTTTATAAGTTGAGACTGGGCTTCCTTTTCTTCATTTTCACTTGGATTAGAGTTTAGCTATAAGAATAATAAGAAATTAAACTAAGCAGGGTTTTTCATCTCTTAAGTCTAATACTCATAAGATATATAAAGATCTGACCATTACAAACACTAAATTTCATTGAGAAGAAAGAGTAAGGAGACACTGGCAAAACTGGCCTAGTCCAGTGACGTGACACCGTGGGAAGCAGAAAGGAAGGCATCATGATTTCCTCGCGTATGCTCCACAAGAGGGAGCAGTGGCTCTGGACTCCAAAGACCTGGATGCTCTCAAGCCTACCAGGAAGCAAAGACATTTAGGATTGAGAAAGGGAGGGAAGAATGGAGTAAGCAAGGCACCTCTCTTCACTTTTTTACATATAGTTCTTCAGAATTCATTAATAAGTTTTATTTATTTTGCTTTCTAGTTATTTACCTTTATATTAGTTTATATTTTCTAGTAATCATTCTAGTATTTAAGTCTAAAATAATTTTATTTCAAAATAATAAAAATAGGGAAATTGAGGAAGGGAGCAGTTTTTTAAGAGAGGTTATAGGATAGAAAAGGATTGGATCTAGAGAGGTTCAAGTACAACAAGAAAAGGAGAATTTAAAAGAAAATATAAGTAATATTCTTTGTTTTGAAAGACTCATGATGTGGCTTTAAGAAGTTTGCATATTACCTATTTTTAAAATAACTTTATAAAGATATTTATATACCATAAAATTCACACACTGAGTGTACAATTGCACAATTTTTAGTTCTGCAGCTGTCACCAAAGTTTTAAACCATTTTTATCGCCCTAGTAAGATCTTTGGTGTTGTATACAGTTCATCCCCACTACCAGCCCTAGCCTAACACATAAATTCTTAACAATTTCTTTCTCCAGATAAAAAATCTTAAACTTGACATTTCAGAAAAAATTAGGTGCTAAAGAGCCACTGATTGGGCCAACCACTTTGGTGTGGCAGTAATGTAACATTCTACCATGCTGAGCCCACAAGGCAGGTCCCGGGTTAGTGTCCCAAGGTCTCTCTGTAGTCTGGTGCACAATCCTGGCTGGCTATGACTGGAGGTGGGACCCTTCTGTGGGTTTCTGCCTCTCTCTCTCTCAAAGGTTTAATTCAAAATAATTAATCTGGATTTAATCATCTATTAGCTATACATTATCTTCATTTTCTTTACCAATAAAAAGAGGGTAAAAATACCTCCATCTTGTCAAATAGTCACTGAGAGGTGAAAAAGATATTCTTTATGACACATAAGAAGTACTCCAAAAAGTGCTAATAAAAATTTCAAACTGTTTTTGTGTTCTACAATATATACATTCAAAATGAGGCCAGAATACAAAAACATAATATACACTTTAAAAAAATGCTCAATTGATTTCCCATTGCAAAAGATATCAGCGAACTTAAACTGGGTTACCTTCTATTAAACTTACAGCAATTAAGGTCCTAAAATAACAGAACTTATTTTGACACTTCTAAGGTCAAAGTAAAATTAAACTTTGGCATAAAATACATTCACCAAACTGATTGTAGCTCAAAATGATTATTTCTAATGCTACTGAGTTGAACCGTGGGCCCGGCCATGACGGTAGGGCATAGAGTGCTGCCGTATGATAGTGAGCTCTACAGGAAGGCTCCAGAGTTTGGATCCTAGGTTGAGCTGAAAACACCCGACACATCTACAATGCTGGCTGGCTGGAAGGCTGGAGAAAGGATTACAGTACGAGAAGATACTGTCAAAGTGCCTCTCTTCCTCTCTCAATAAAAAAAATATATATTAATTTGTTTTAGGTTTTGCCATAGGGTGTGTGCACTCACTAGAGAGAGACAAAGAGAGACAATGGGAGGGAAAGTGAGAAATAATCCCAAGTGCACTCACTGGAGAGAGACAAAGAGAGACAATGGGGAGTGAGAAATAATCCCAAAGAGAGGATGGCTACTCTGCAATCTCTTCTCCTCCATTCTCCTCTCAGCATTTTGGGCTCATACTTCTCCTCCATTCTCCTCTCAACATTTTGGGCTCATAAGTACACATGGCTGGCATGATTTTCAAACCACCAGGTCCAGGACTTGGACCACAGCTGGCTATGTCAAAGTCCAGCACCATAACCACCATGCTACTTGCTGGCCCCACTCTCAATAAACTTTTTTAAAAATTTCTCTTTATGTAGGTAGGAATAAATAGCACAAATTTTAAATTTTATTTGATATTATTTGTAATATTTGAGGTATATGCAACATTGTCAGTGACTTCTAGGGTTTGCCTTCACATATTCTTTCTGTAACCTTTGTAAAGAGAACAATACAAAAATAATCATTCAAATGGCTTTTAAAAAACAGGAAAAAAAAAAAAACAGGAAGACCATGTCATGGTATGGATGACTGAATTAAACCATTCTAAGATCCTTGTATTTTCATGACCTTATTAGTAAGTGCGTATTTTTAAATTCTTGAAGTAATGACAAAGAGAAAAGGACAGTATGTACAGTATAGAAGGAGCAGAATAAAGGAGAAATATATCAATCTGGGGAGGGAGAAAAGCAAAAGAGGAAGAAGGGTGCACTAAGGAATGTGGAGGTGTAGTGGTTGAGGCAGCTGGATCCCACATGGCTGACTAGTTTGGGTGTGTACCCAGTGGCTTGGAACACACACCAGGGCCTGTGCACATGTGCCTGAAACTGGAGAAGGGACTGTGCATGGCCATCCCCGTCAAGGGTCTTTCTCACTTCCCCCTAACAAGTGCATGTACCATCTAGCAATAAAATAATAATTTTGAAAAAGCTATAGAATTTTTAGAAAAAGGCAAAAATTTTTAGAACCTAAGGCGTGATGAATGCTTCTTGGACATAACAACAAAAGCAGTCCACAGAACTAAAAAGAAAATTGATAAATTGGCCTTAAGCAAAATTTAAGGTTGGTTCTATAAAAGACTCTGTGAAGAGAAATAAAAGATACAGAGAAAATTTAAACCACATATCTGGCAAAGTAGCTAAAATATATTATATTCTCTTCTCGCTTTTTCCTCAGAAACAGTGAAGTCCTTCCATTTAGCTAATTAAGAGCACCCTCACTCCCGCTACACACTATCTTTGAGCTGGCTAATTTACCAACACATAATCCTTAACTGTTTTTCTTTTTAAAACAGGCAATGTGAAAGTAATTAAAAGTTAATTGGTATAAACGCCAATTAGAAATCATAACATTGCTGTCTTGGTATAACCAGAAAACGTTATTTCTGGATTTCTTTCTATAATTTGTGATATATTTTTTGCTTATTGGTTTATCGTCATTATTTCTTTTTTTAACTTGAAATGTTTTATTTCTGATAAGAATTATTATATCATTGTTTCCTGAGAAGTTTTCTTATATTTGATACTTTTCAAACTAGTTACGACTAAACGGAACAAACTAGTTTTTGATTGATATTTGTAGCAAGAAAAGTCAAGGACTGTATAATCTGCAAGATTTCAGACTTGACGTATTAGTTGGGCAGTCACATCTCTCTCTCCCTGTTTATGCTGTCATGTGTAGAAGATGAAAAACTGTTATTCTTCCCGGATTAATGGAAGACATTGAAATTTAACTACCCTAACATAAATTATCCATGCAAGATTTCTTTGCACAATGCCTGTGAAGGACAGTTATCTAGACACATTTTGAAAATGTCTAAAGAAAGTAGGTTAGCTGCCGCCCACACTAGTCCCTGTGTTAGAGACAACCAGCTGCTCCAGAAGCTTTTTTATGTCCAGTCAAAATCTACCTTTTAGGTGCCATAGAATTACAAGGGTCTTAGTTTTATACTAACAAATACATCTCATCTCTACTCTTTGTAACAGTACTTCAGTACTGAAGATAACTATTATTTGCCCCATTTTCTCTTTTCACAACTACATTTGTAATTCCTTTATTATAGTTTCTAAATCTTTGAGAATTTTGCTTGTCTCCTACATAGGCTCCAACCAAATTATCCCAGGTTTTCTTCAATCAGCACTTAAAATACTGGAATATTCACCTTCTGTGTTCAAGAGCAGCACCGAGTAGTAGAATATAATGCGAGATCTAATTTTTTGCCAGTCATATAAAAACCTGATAACATCGATTTGCTAATACGTTTTATTTATCCCATTTTTTAAATATATTGTGAATATGAAATGACACATTATTATTAATATTGTTATTCTTTTGCTATAAGGTACATAGATCTCTGGGAAAAGAGAGAGAGGAAAAGTGACAGATCACTTTCCAGGGGCTTGCCATGCCATAGTCACTTATTTTCCATTCTCCTCTCGGGATTTTGGTCAAGTACACATGGCTGGCATGATTTTCAAACCACCAGGTCCAGGACTTGGACCACAGCTGGCTATGTCAAAGTCCAGCACCATAACCACCATGCTACTTGCTGGCCCCACTCTCAATAAACTTTTTTAAAAATTTCTCTTTATGTAGGTAGGAATAAATAGCACAAATTTTAAATTTTATTTGATATTATTTGTAATATTTGAGGTATATGCAACATTGTCAGTGACTTCTAGGGTTTGCCTTCACATATTCTTTCTGTAACCTTTGTAAAGAGAACAATACAAAAATAATCATTCAAATGGCTTTTAAAAAACAGGAAAAAAAAAAAAAACAGGAAGACCATGTCATGGTATGGATGACTGAATTAAACCATTCTAAGATCCTTGTATTTTCATGACCTTATTAGTAAGTGCGTATTTTTAAATTCTTGAAGTAATGACAAAGAGAAAAGGACAGTATGTACAGTATAGAAGGAGCAGAATAAAGGAGAAATATATCAATCTGGGGAGGGAGGAAAGCAAAAGAGGAAGAAGGGTGCACTAAGGAATGTGGAGGTGTAGTGGTTGAGGCAGCTGGATCCCACATGGCTGACTAGTTTGGGTGTGTACCCAGTGGCTTGAAACACACACCAGGGCCTGTGCACATGTGCCTGAAACTGGAGAAGGGACTGTGCATGGCCATCCCCGTCAAGGGTCTTTCTCACTTCCCCCTAGCAAGTGCATGTACCATCTAGCAATAAAATAATAATTTTGAAAAAGCTATAGAATTTTTAGAAAAAGGCAAAAATTTTTAGAACCTAAGGCTTGATGAATACTTCTTGGACATAACAACAAAAGCAGTCCACAGAACTAAAAAGAAAATTGATAAATTGGCCTTAAGCAAAATTTAAGGTTGGTTCTATAAAAGACTCTGTGAAGAGAAATAAAAGATACAGAGAAAATTTAAACCACATATCTGGCAAAGTAGCTAAAATATATAAAAAAAAACATTCAAAATATAATAGTTAAAAAAAAAGGCAAAGAATCCAATTAGAACATGGGCAAGAGACAAAAGCAGAAATTTCACTACAAAGGATTCACAGACAGCAACAGCAAATGAAAAGATGGTCAATATCATTAGCCATCGGGAAATGCAAATCAAAGCTACAAAACCACTGCATGCCTACCAGAACGAGTAATAGACAATTTAGCAATGTTACTAAACTCTGACAAGGGTTCGGAAGAATGCAAAATGGTAAGGTAAGATCACTCTGAAAAACAACTTGGTGATTTCTTATGACCGACCTAAACCTACAATTACCATGTAATCCAACAACTGCACTCCAGGGCATTTATCCCAGGGAAATGAAAACTTATATATACATAAAGCTTTGTACAAGAATGTTCATAACAGCTTTACAACAGTTTACAACAGTCAAAAGCAACCAAATGTCCATCAACTGATGAATGGGTAAATAAAATGTATCATACACAGGGCCAGCAAATGGCATGGTGGTTAAAGATACTGGATCCCACATAGCTGACTCCATTAGTGTCTCAGACCCAGTGGCTTGAAAAAACACACCAGGTTCATGTGCATGCATGCCCCAAATCCAGAGGATAACAGGAAAAGGGACTGCTGCATGCACATTCTCCCTGGGGTTGATTTCTCACTTCCGCTCTCTATCTCTCTCTGACAAGTGCACATACCCTATAGCAAAAAAAATAAAAAAGGGAACAAAGTCATACGTGCAAACATTTAGATGAATCTCTAGAAAATTATGCTGAGTAAAAAATAAAGTCAATTCCAAAAGTTTATATAACATTTCAGCACAGGCATGTATCATTCTTGGAATGTCAAAACTGATCAAATGAAGGGACCAACGTAATGGCTATGTCACTGGACTCCCATGTAGTCGACCGTGGTTCAAGCCCTGGACCTGGTGGCTTAAATTCACACCAGGCCTGTGTACATATGTGCCCGCCCAAGATCCCGAGAGGAGAATGGAGGAGAAGGGATTGTAGTGTGGCCATTCTCCCTGGGAGTTGATTTCTCACTTTCTGTCTCTCTGTCTCTCTCTTTCTGGCAAGCACACGCACCTTATAGTGGAAACCTCTCCAAAAAAAAAAAAAATGATGAATAATAAATTAATGGCTGCCAGGAGTTATGGACATGGGTCTAGAATAAGGTAGGGAGGAAATGGGCGTGGTTATAAAAGGGGAAAAGGAGGGATCCTGAGGGGAATAGAACTGTTCCCTACTTTGATTGCAGTGGTGGACACACAAACCAACACACTGTGATAAAGTGTATAACACTGAATACAGACCACACACAAAAGAATACTAGTAAAACTGAGAGAATCTTTATAACAGATTATATCAATGCCAATATCCTGGTTGTAATATCATCTTATCATTGGAGGGAACTAGGCAAAGAGTACACATGAGCTCTTTGCATTTTTTGTTGTTGTTGTTGTTATTATTTAGTTTTTGCTATGGGGTGCATGTGCTCACGAGAGGGGTGGGGGGGAGTAAGAAATCACTTTCCAGGGCAATGGCCATACTGCAATCCCTTCTCCATTCTCCATTCTCCTTTCAGAATTTTGGGTACACATACACACACATATATGACCGGCATTATTTTTAAACTGCACCTGGGACTCAAACCACACAGCAGGCCACATGGGATCCAGTGCCTAAACCTGTGGCCCGTATTATTTCCTAACATCTACAATTATCTCAGCAAAAATTCTGATTAGAAATAAAAGATTACGGGACCAGCAGTTAGCGTAATGGCTATGTCACTGGACTCTGACATAGTCGACTTCGGTTCGAGTCCCCAGACCTGGTGGCTTAAACTCATGCCGGGCGCGTGTGCGTGCGTGCCCAAGATCCCGAGAGGAGAATGGAGAAGGGATTGTGGCGTGGCCATCCCCACTGGGGGGGGTGATTTCTCGCTTTCTATCTCTCTGTCTGTCTCTGTCTGTCTGGCAAGCGCACACACCCTATAGCAAAAAAAAAAAGAAATAAAGAAATAAAAGATTACTCAAAACAATTGCAATCTCATGGAAGAATTCTTTTAATAGTAATACCAGTTTTATAAACACACTAGCAAAATATGACTGCCTCAGAACAACCTAAAAACAGTAAGTCTCATTCAATTCCCTCCTCCTGGTTTCTGAGAGGTTTTGATATTGATCACAGGGAAGACATTAACCAAAGACATAACCAAGGTTCCAAGATCTCACTTTTCCAAAAGAATACATTCAGTGCCCACTATGGATTAATTTGTGCTAAGAATCTATTCTAAATTATTGTTTTATTTCTAAAAGTCAACCTAAAGTAGTGACAAGGAAAAAAATTCTAAATAGATTTAAGCATTTGCAAGAAGAAATACATTGTCACATTCCTATTTATTCATCCATCTGACAAACATTTGCACAACACCTCCTCTGGATAAAAGACTGTACTACTCCCACCTAGGGAATGGTTTCTCTAGCACTATTACCTCCCCAGTACCCCGTCTTCCTCCTGCTCTCCTGAATATTAGTTCAAAAACTATGGTTCTCAAGTATCTTTCCAAGTAGGAGAGATCAGATAAACATAAAATAACAGTCAACTTTATTGAGACCATGTAACAATTTCTGATTCATATAATTACATCTAATATTTTTGGATTTGTCTGCAGATGACTAAGTGCTGTAAAAAGGGTTATGGCATTGTTACAATGTTAGTTTTATCTTCATAGTGCAGGTCTTAAAACAAGCCAAATGAGGGCATAAAGAGATTGTCTCTCTCCAAATCATTTTTCAGTATATACCGTCTTCAATGACACATAATCTCTAACATTATTGCTCAAACAAACTCAAAGCACTTTTTACGCTTTGTAAAGCAGCCATAATGGATGACTGCAAAATTCAATTTTAAGAGCCTGTTTCATTATTCTTCTCAAATCAAAGAAAGAATTTACCAAGTAACCTAAGGACTTTAGGAACAACTCAGATGACATCTCTAGATCCTCATGGAGGACACAAAGCGAACTAAGTGAGCTATATAAACTCAAATAGGCTTATATGTATTATTTATTATCTACATGTCACCTTCATGATTCTTTGATGTCAGCCACCAAATATTAATTCAGGAACTATGATTCGTATACACATCAATCAATCGATTTTTCTCTTTTAGCTATAAAATTATTATGATACAATGTTAATACAAAACAAAAAAAAAACTAGGTCCAATATGCTCTTTCAAAATAACATCTTCTTAGAACCAAGTATATACTGAACTGAACTTACCACTTTTTTAAAATCATCTTCTGCTTCATCAAGTTTTCCTTGTTTAAGTAATAAGTGACCTCTCTGTAATCTTGCCTAGTGGGAGGGGGAAAAAAAGTAATATTCTGAGTACTATGAATTTCTAAATTTTATTTAAGCACAAAAAACAATAATTTTAAAAAGCTAATGATATTATTGATAAATACTTATTTTTCCACTGCTTGTTTGACTTGGCACTGAGAATAACTCCTAGAACCAATAAACACGAATAATTTTTGTTGAAATACACTTCCTTACTTTTTACACTACTCAAGAAAACTGAAAGAATATGTCCGCACAAAAATTTGTACATGTATATTCACAGCAATAGCCAAAAAGTAGAAACAACCCAAATCCCTATCAACCAATAAATCAATAAACAAAGGCAATATAACCATACAATGAAATATCACTCAGTCATAAAAAGGAATGATATATTGATACATGCTACCACACGAATGAATCTTGGAAACATGGTGCTTAGAAAAAGAAGCCAGACACACAAGGCCATATACTGCATTTATTTCAGTGAAACACCCAAAAGAGACAAATTCATGGTAAGTGGCTATCAGGGGCTAGAGTGGAAATGGGGAGTGCTAATAACTATAGGGCTTCTTCCGGAGTTGATAAAAATGTCCTCAACTAGACAGTGTTGATGACTGCACAACCTTATAATCATACTAGAAAACAAGGAACACTTACTTAAAAAGGGTGGATTAGATGACATGTAAATTATATCTCAATTTTAAAAGGTACTTCTTGCCATCATAATAACTTTTTGCCTCTGCAAGTTCAAAGTTCCAGAAACACGCTTGTTTTTTAACTCTCAACACAAATATTTTCTATACTATAGCCAGAACAACAATTTCTCTTTTCTAACATGCATTAGTTTCTCTTCTTCATTTCAGATATTCCTCCTCTTCTCTTATGTATAATCTCTTCTCTTTCAAGAATACCATCTCTCTGATGACCAATGTCCACCAGAAAATAGAAACCATACATTAATATGCTGCTTAAACATAACTGTTACTTTTACAGTACATAAAATTTCTCGAATCCTCTATTAAGTGCATCAATACACATAAAAAGCTAGATTAAAGCCACTTCAACTAGCTAAAGAGCTACCATAAAGCCAGGAAAATGAGCTACTTAACATTTGTGAAAGGTTGTGCTTAGCCTTATGAAGTAATAGATTCAACAAAGATATTTCACTAGGGAATTCTATCTTTAAAATAGCAGAAATAATTCAAGTAAAACACTCACCCCATATCAGTATCTTAAATCCATTTTGGAATATGGCAAGATATAAGTAACATTTTCCAAATTAATTTCAAACCCCTCTAATTAGACAATGGTTCTGTTAATTCTGCTTCTAAAAGCCCTGCCTCTGTCCCATCCCATGAGTCCCCCGTACACCTCTGTCACAGAAGTGACCTGCCAATTGTCAATTCTATCCCACTAGACTACAAGTCTCTCCACCTCTGCTGCTTGTGTGCTGGTTCCAGGAAGGACCCTGTTAACTCAGCACTGTATCCTCACAACCACGGCTTCAGTGAGCCTCCGCCTCTATTCTTCCTGCCACGGCCTTAACTAAAACTTGTCAGTCACCTGACACATCTTAATCCAGTCTCTTGACTCATGCCTTGGCCTCACATCTTGCTTAAACTACATAAATCTGTCCTTCTAAGCGACAAATTTAACATCATTGCCACATTTCTGAAAAATCACCTAGTGTTCCCACTGTCCCTCTTTCATTCAGACCTTTGATTCTCAGGACTTTGAAATTTTCTTCTTCCACAGTCACATCAGTAGCTTTGATAGCCTCTGGTTATACCTGGCATGCAGTCCTCACCTTGAAACACAAATCACCTCTTCAAGTTCCCATGAGTTTCCCCTTTTAAAAAGTTCAGATTACACTTACTGCAGTAAAATCCATCTTCAACTCAATCACTTTAGTTAAATCAGGAAGTGCTGCTTTTGATTTGCCCATAGCTAAAAAGACAGTAGCTCTCCGATAGTAAGCAATGTAGTTGTCAGGGTCACCATCTGAAAATAAAAACAATAAATATTAACTCTCAGTAATTTATTAGGAAAAAAATCACTTAAATGACACTAAGAGTTTACAATTCTATTAAGAATGACATAAAGAAAAAAATTTCGGGAACCAGCAGTTAGCGTAATGGCTATGTCGCTGGACTCCCACGTAGTCAACCGCGGTTCGCATCCCGGACCCGGTGGCTTAAAACTCACGCCGGGCACGCGTGTGTGTGTGCCCAAGATCCTGAGAGGAGAATGGAGGAGAGGGGATTGTGGCGTGACCATCCCCCCTGTGGGGTGATTTCTCACTTTCTGTCTCTATGTCTCTCTCTGTCTGTCTGGCAAGCGCACGCACCCTATAGTGAAAATCTCTCAAAAAAAAAAAAAAAAAGAAAAAAAAAGAAAAAAATTTCTTCATAAAAATAAGTCACAACACCAAGCAAAATCATGGCAAGTAAGTCTAGGATAGGGATCAGTGAACTGCAGCGCTTGAGCCAAATCCAATCCACAAGCTTCAGTTAAGATTGTTTTTTACATTCTTAATGAGTTGCCAAAAAAAAAAAAAAAGAAAGAAAAAAAAAGATGAAACGATATGGCCACAAAGTCTAAAATATTTATGTAGAACTTTAGGAAAAAGGTTTGCAAACTCCTGTTTAGAATACTATTATTCAACTCATAATTTCGTAAGTGTGTAATGCAGTCCTGGTGTTTGAATCTGCTGAGATTTTCTTAAGTAAAATACTGGTTAAGAATGCAAATTAGACCCAGCCATGGTGGTGTGGGCTAGCATTTTAAACTACCTTAACAATATGCCACTGCCCTTAATGTTTCTGTTAAATATGAGGAGAAAAAAAAAAAAAGTAAACAGGGACCAGATGGTGACGCAGCAGGAAAACACAACACTCTGCGAGGCTGACCTACATGGGAATGTTCCAGGTTCAAATCCAGAGAACTCCCTGAGTATGCCTGTGGTCTGGGATTGGCTGAGGCTGGGGGTGGACCACGGCATCAATATTCTGTTAGAAGTGCAGTCTCTTTCTGTTTTTCTATATATATAGCTCTTGAAATAAATAAATAAATAAATAAATAAATAAATATACACACACACACACACACACACACACACACACACACACGTATGTATACATGTGTATATATCTATATCTATCTATATAAAATAAAGAATTACATAGGTAGGAAGTGCAATTTCAGCAAATATTTTTGTAGTAGTAGATAAGAATCAATATTTTATTTTAGGATATGCTCTTTCTAAGACAATAAAGAGAAAAAAACTGTGTAAAGTTTTTCAACAAAATCATCCCGAGGGCTAGCTCTGTAGCACGGTGTTAAGTGCTATGCATTGGAAGCTGCAGTCCACATTATAATCCCAGCCATGGCAGCTTGAAAAATACATAGAGCACATGTGTGCATGCCCAAAATCTTTACAGGATGGAGAAATGGAAGAAAAAGGATTGTGGCATGATCATTCCCCACTGGGGAATATTATTTTCTCTCCATCCCCCTCCTCTCTCTCAATTAAAAAAATGAACTTGAATTATTCTTATTAGTTACATTAGTAATTCTCAATTATATGGAAAATTTTTTCATGGTAGATACATTTGCATTCAAGTATTGTACACTTATTAATCTATTTTACTCAGCATTCTGCAATATTTTTAAATGTTTCATTTAAACATGAAATAATATTTAAAATGTTATCCAAAATGAGTTATTAGTTAGAATTCAGTAAGATAGTCATAGAGCAGTTTGGTTCTTTGATACAAACCTACTGCAGCATGAAACTGAGATAAAGCATCAGCAAGCTGTCCAGCTGCAAGCAATTTCTTGCCCAGTTCAAGATGTTTCTCAACATCTGCATTTACTCCACACTCAGCACCTAAAAAGAAATGTAAAAATAATCAGTTAACTTTTCATGAACCAAGATTAACTCTAAAAAATAAATTGTTGGGAACCAGCAGTTAGCGTAATGGCTATGTTGCTGGATTCCCACATAGTCGACCGCGGTTCGCGTCCTGGACCCGGTGGCTTAGAACTCACGCCGGGCGTGTGTGCGTGCGCGTGCCCAAGATCCCGAGAGGAGAATGGAGAAGGGATTGCGGCGTGACCATCCCCCCTGGGGGGTGATTTCTCGCTTTCTGTCTCTATGTCTGTCTCTGTCTGTCTGGCGAGTGTACGCGCCCTATAGCGAAAACCTCTCAAAAAAAATAAATAAAAAGTTAAAAATATGGTTATCTGGGGCCAGCAGGTAGCATGGTGGTCGAGCCACTGGACTCCCACGTGACCGACCATGGTTCAAGTCCCAGACCCAGTGGCCTGAAAATCACAACGAATACATAGTATATAAATAAATAAATAAATAGTGATCTAGCTTAGATACCTTCACAGACAAGAAAAGGCACAGAAGCTGAAAAGGGACCTGGTGAAATACAAACAGGTCCAGGAAAGTTGGTGTGTACTGGTTAATGCTCTTCCTGAACAGAGGCCATGTGGAAGGCCCAGGTTTGATTCCTAGCCTACCCTAAAACTGGATACAGTGCTATGACCCTGAAATCCCAGTTATTCAGGAGACTGAGGCAGATCAAGACATAGACCCTGTCTTAAACACACACACACATAGCAAACATACATGTTTCATTTTATAGGGTATTAAAAGTCCAACAATATACTCATATCAACCTCACCAGTCTAATCAGTCTATTTAAAAAAGGGAAACTCATAACATAGCAGTGGTGACAATATTTTGAGCAATAAAATTAGAATTGCTTTGTTAAGCTAGACTCACCTTAATGAGCATTATATAGTCTGCTAAAAATACTCAAGAACTTATTGAGCACCTCCAAAAGCACCAGGCACTCAGCTAGGTATTTGGAATAAGTAAGCAAAAGACAAAAAAACCACCTCTCGACCCCTCCTGGCACCTGATACTGATGTATGGTGGGAGGAGACAGATATAATACATAAGGAAATTACATGGAACATTAGGTGAAAAGTACTATGGAAAAAGTCAAGCCAAATGAGGGTATGAAGAGTTGGTGGTAGGTTTTAGTAGTAAATGAGAGAGTCCAGGACAGGCCTCCTTGAGGAGCTAATATTTGAGCAAAGAGTTAACGTGAGGAACTGGCTATGCAGACACCTAGGAAAAGATCTTTCCTGAATGAAGGTCCAGCCACCCCAGCCCTAAGTCAGGAGCATGCAGGTATACTCCAGAAGCATGCAGATAAGTTCCAGAAACTGCAGGGAGACCTGGATGGTGCAGCAGGGCCAACAAGAACATGGCAATATGAGGCCAAATATGGAGAGCTTTGGTTTTCTCTCTTGGTAAAACAGGGAGCTACTGAAGCATCCAGAGTAGAATAGCAGCAGGATCTCACTGGCCCAATTAGCCCAATTAGCAACGTATTGCCTTTCAGCTTTGAACTCATCCTTCAGTACCAATGCTTCACAGATGGACTGGAGTTTTTAAGCATCTCTCCTGTACAGTGAGCACAATGTTATTCTTTGTCAGTACCAGGCACTGAAAAGACCATGTAGAAAGAACACGTCCCGGTTCTGCTTGCTGAGTCTTTCTTCCTTCTCACTCCTCCTAGATGGTATGTCATACAGCTCCTGCTGCATGCTGTGTATGGGGAAGACACCTAACGATGCTCCGCCCTAGCTATACATCCAGGAGCCCAGTTCCTCCGACCTGGCAGCCTCAGCTTTGTTGGCATCTCCCAACATGGACATTATGCATTCTAGGCTTCATACCAGCAGCAGTATCTAACTCCCCCTGCAAACAGGACAGTGTGCTCTGACTCACCTATACCTGAGAGGGATGTTTCCTGCTTGCCCAGCTACTGGTGACCAGCTCTGGCCACAGTAACTCAGCAAAATTATCCACCAACAAACTTGGGTTGCAACATACCTTGTCCAATGTGCTAGCCCTTCCTTGAGGCTATCTCTGAGTTCTAGAATACCCTTCAGAGTTCTATTTACATCTTTACTCTCCTATCATAACATAGTAGTTCTTTAAAATTATTTCCCCCTTTTAACTGTGGTTTCTGCCTCCTGAATAGACCCAACTGATACACAACTGGTCCTAAGAGACAGATCCACAACAATGGAATCTGAGGAATGGTATGGTCATGCCCTTGAATTTGAGTGTACTGCTGAGCTCCTTGTCAAGGAGAAATGAGATAATAGTAACCCACAGCAGGTATTGAAATCACAATTAATTAAACTATCACTTGCGGTTGACTATAATGAAATCTAACTGAAGCACATGGCTTGGAAGCCCAAGTGCTGGCTGAACTTGACTGTAATGGCAGCAATCATGGAAATAAGGACTGTGACATGGCGCATCCTGCTTGCACAGTTACTGGTGATCAGCTCTGGCCACAGTAACTCAGCAAAATTATCCACCAACAAACTTGGGTTGCAACATACCTTGTCCAATGTGCTAGCCCTTCCTTGAGGCTATCTCTGAGTTCTAGAATACCCTTCAGAGTTCTATTTACATCTTTACTCTCCTATCATAACATAGTAGTTCTTTAAAATTATTTCCCCCTTTTAACTGTGGTTTCTGCCTCCTGAATAGACCCAACTGATACACAACTGGTCCTAAGAGACAGATCCACAACAATGGAATCTGAGGAATGGTATGGTCATGCCCTTGAATTTGAGTGTACTGCTGAGCTCCTTGTCAAGGAGAAATGAGATAATAGTAACCCACAGCAGGTATTGAAATCACAATTAAACTATCACTTGCGGTTGACTATAATGAAATCTAACTGAAGCACATGGCTTGGAAGCCCAAGTGCTGGCTGAACTTGACTGTAATGGCAGCAATCATGGAAATAAGGACTGTGACATGGCGCAGATCTTTTTGAATGCATGAGAGAAAATATCAAGCTCAGGTCAAACTCTCAGTTTCTCAGTTCAAAACATGGTCTGAGAGCTTCCATCACAGTTCTAAGACACTCTTATTTTTTGGAGTTACAGAGCTGTTATAGCTCAAAATCAAACACAAAACTTAATTATGTAGGTCCCTGAATTAAAACAACAGTTAAATTTAGTCTGACCAAGTTTCATAAAAATTAGGAAATAGATTAGTAAAGAATGGAATCCTTAAATGTTATAAAGGAAACATGTACTCGGACCCAGATCAAACTGACCAACTTAAACTTCCAAGTTTTACTGAGCCTTTCTTATAGAAGTCGCTGACCTTCCCACGCCTGAGGAGACCAGTCTTTCACTGCTTAAAAATCCAAGGATCACCTAAGGCAGATGCCTTCAAAGGGGATGCTCATCCTCAAGACCCATCCTAACCACTAACCACTCCCATTGCCAAATCTCAGCAGGCTCCAGAGAGAGAGATATATACTGTTACTCAAATGAAACAGCAAAAGAATCCAGAGACTTTGCTGATAAACTAAAAGAAATTCACAGAACATATATGACAATGGTTTCTAAAGCTGTCAGACAAAGGAGGATGAAAAATAATATACGGGATCTAAGTCATTGATATGTGCACACTCTAAAACAGATGTCAGCAAACCTTTGTAAATACAGTCTTATTAGAACGCAGTCATGCCCATTAAGAAATAGGCCATATTGTCTATGGCTGCTTTCAAACTACGAAAGTGAGTTGAACAGCTATGACAAAATCCATATGGCCCACAAAACTGAAAATATTTACTATCTGTCCTTTACAGAAAAGGTTTACCTACTCCTATACGAAAGATTCCATACTTAATGTGTTAACTCATTCTGATGGAAATGGCTCAAACAACTTACTAGGTCAGGGAGTTGAAATTTAGACTTGACAATGGCCTACATTCAAAAAATGCTGAAATTTTGGAGGGTTCCTAGCATTATAAGAAAGAGGGATCCAGGACCAGCAGTTGGTGTAATGGCTATGTCGCTAGACTCCCATGCAGTCCACTGTGGTTCAAGTCCTGGATCCGGAGGCTTTAACTCACGCTGGGCGCATGTGCATGCATGCATGCATGCATGCGTGCCCAAGGTCCTGGGAGGTGAATGGAGAAGGGATTGCAGTCTGGCTATCCCCCCCAGGGGATGATTTCTCACTTTCTGTCTCTGTCTTTCTGGTGAGGGAACATGCCCTATAGCAAAAACCTCTCAAAAAAAAAAGAAAAAAAAAATTTAAAAAGAAGGAGGGATCCAAAGCCTTAGAGAGATAGGGATGTTGGACTAAATTTGTCATGCATCACCTACACACCAAACTCCCACTTACATTCCCTAAGAGGGCCCAGAAGATACTCCCTTTACTAAGGCATTGAGAAATGAATTAGTGACAGACCAACCACTCATCATCTTCTCAAAGTATTGTGGTCACTCCCCTTCATAGGACATCACAGTTTGAATATGACCTCCAAAAATTCATGTGTTAAGACACTGTAACAGGATTAAGAAGGTCAAACAAACAAACAAACAAACAAACATGACTACTATCAGGTTGGAAGTTGGGGCTTTAGTGACTTGATTAGTAATTGGGTAGTTAGGACAGGGAACTCATGATATAACAGAGAGTCAGGCAGGAACATAGGCCACGTTCTCTTGCCTGTCACCATGTTGTGATGCAGCCAGTAAAACCCCACCAGAGTGCCCCAAGCCTTGAACCTCCAAATCACCCAGTTTCAGATATTTCCTGTTATTAGCAATAGAATGGACAAGGATGACCATGGGAAGATGCTATCACTGAAATGGGTTTCCTGATTTCAGTGGAAGTGAAGGGATCCTAGATTAGCAGAAGTTTAAGCAGCAGCACTTAACCATCAGAGACAAGGTGAGCATATCAGCTACAAATGGGATCTACTACAGAGAATACTCTAAATAATCAGATAGGTAAAAAGATATGTGCTCTGCAGATAACCC